AAATCTTACAATAAGACACAATGTCTTCAAACAGCAGAATAAAAATAAGTGACTTTGTCTTAAATAATGGCACCAGAATCAGGCTTTGTACTTTCTTGTGATTCCTAGTTACTACATCACAAAGTCTAGCACCACCCATTTTTGCAAACAGCTTTCAGGCACACCTTCTGGGCTTTCATTGGAGAAGGATTTCATTATAAGCTATGCATTTCCTGTCACAAGATACTGATGCTACAGTATGACATGACCTTTCCACCCCTCAGCTTTTGTTGAATGTACACAGTCTTCATTGTAATTATAGACCTCTGGCAAGTCATGTTAACCACAAAGCATCCGTCATGTTTTATGTGTCCATACCTGGATGTGTTGTAGTATCTCCTGTACACACCAGCTGCCCAGCTCTCTATACTTCTGAACCACCTCCTGACCCCGACCTTCACTTAGCTGTTGTACCAGACACAACAGCATCATGGGAACTGCCATGCTGTTGGTGGGAACGTCTCCAGAAAGCTGGGGCCGGCCCAGGCCTGACGAGTCCTTCCGGACCCAGTAGATCAGCTGCTGCATCATCTGTTCCGCCTCCAGCTAGCAACACAACAGAGCAGAGGCCAGACAATAAGTAAATGTGTGATAATGTGGGAATGGGAAGGCAAGTGTCAAGCGTGTTCAGGCATGTTTACCAAGTATCATTCGTTTCACTCAGTCTCATGTAAGCTGAAGGATTAATTGTGTATGTCCACAGAATACACAGCATAGCCACAGCACCAATAGTGACAATATTCTAAATATAGCATACTCTTAAACTGATATTAATTTTTTAGGTGTGCCTTTTTTATGTTTTGTTGCAGCCCCCGCCCCCAGCAGTGCATTGCTTAGCTTCTGTGCTAGATGTAGATTGACCACAAAGCTCCAAACATACAAAGTACGAAATATGTGATATTACAATTTTGCTATTTATAGTATATAAATGTTGATACATATCAAATTTAATATATATAGTCAGTGTGGCTCCCACAATGTATAGACTACATATCAGTGTATTTCTGAACAAGTTCTGATTATGTCAGCAGTTACATTATTACAGTGAGTCCTCTGTTATCTGTCTCAACAATGTCAGAAGGACCATTTTTGGGGAACTATGATCCAAATTTGTAAAACAAAAATAGGGAACTAGTTTTACTGTAGCTTGATGAATTTCATTTTCTGTTTATGCACTATCAGCATAAAAAGTAGCACAAATCCAGTACATGGAACATCTACGGTGTGTCACAACCCAATGGACTATTGTGTCTTTCAGTCTCCTATTAATCTCAGCTGCTATGGAGAAGGTCTGTCAATGAAGCTAAAATTCAATCTAATCCCTTTTGCAGCTCTAAAATACTGCCATATGCATGTCATTAAGTCATTTGTTACTTATAGGCAATGAATGTATTGACCTTGATGATCTAATTATTATTTATTAAAATAATAAATAATCGTGCACCAGTAAACAAACTTGATAAAATAAATTACAATTCCCACAAATCGTATACACAATTAACTTGGGAACCAAAACACAAAAAGTTCCTGTTTGAATGTGTTGTTAATAAAGTTTAGAAAAGGCAAAAAAGTCAGAGTGGTGGAAACTATGTGAAACTATGAAAACTGTTGGAGATGTTACCATAGCATAAAACCAAGAGGTTTTCCTTTCTGGTGGGAATTAGGGGTGGTGCGGTTCACAGAATTCATGCTTCATATCATGGTCTTAGGGTCATGGTTTTCGGTTCAGTATGTTTTTGGTACAGCAAATAAGATAAGGAACATAAACACTTAATTGTCAAATCTAAATAATAAATGCTGCTTTATTTTTTTATATAAAAATGGCCACATTACGAATAATATTCTGAAATCCCAGGGTTATATTTACTTGAAAATATTTGAAAGAAAAGGTCACATTTTCCCTTTTCCATTTACCCATTTCACTTAGATCAATACTGTCATCCTAACGGCTCAAAACTAGCAGCGATTCCTATCCTATGTATAAGAAACAATCTAGTTTGAATACTGTCTTTGTACCTGCATGTCCTTGTCACCAGTGACCCTGCTCAGTTCATCCATGGCCATGATGTAGAAACACTCACTGAATATAGTCCTCTGAATTTTGACAGCTTTACCGTCTCTTGTTAAGCAGAAGGCACACTTCCACGGGCCACTGCCGCCGCTGGAGACACGAGCAAACTTTCTCAGGAATGCTCCTCCTAAGACGCAAACAGGACAATAGAACATTAGCTTATGATCAGACACATTGTATGAACCAGAGTACACAGTAAAGCCCTTTTAAAACATGAATACATAACATTGTGGGCTTCACCTACCTGGTAATGTAGTTATCATATAGACATACTGCATGTGTAACATATAAATGTTTGTTTAAAAAACAACAACATATATATATACATATACA